TTTACATCACTCTCACTTCCTGTCTTCAGTCCATGTTCACCTCTCGCAAAAAAACCCTACTGCAAAGAAGTTAAATATTCTTAGATAAAGTCAAATTGTCTTGATTCAAGAAAAATAAACCTGCCAAAATAATTAGCTAGTTTTATTTGTCTATTTTAAAAGTCGATCCACTGAAAGATGATTCTACATCTCAATACATTTTATTTAAAGTTTTACAAAGTAGAGATAAAATCAACATTAAAAAGTATTTACAGGATGTAGAGGATTTATGAGACTGGAAGGGGAATGATCAGACTGAATATGTCAGTTTAAAAAGATGTGTTTAGAGATGAGATTTAAAAATGGAGAGAGTGTCAATACTACGGATGTGTGGTGGGAGGGAGTTCCAGAGGCGGGGGAGGGGCAGAGCGGCTGAAGGCTCTGGACCCCCTGGTGGACAGGCAGGTGGTGCAGTGAGGTGAATAGAAGAAGAAGACCTGAGAGTGCGGGTGGGTGTGTTGATGTGCAGGAGTCCAGAGAGGTACAGAGGAGCGAGGTTCTTTATCACTGAAATATTTCTGAAGAATACAAGTAATGAATAAACTAATCTGTTCTTAACAAATGACCAAGCTAGACAATTATGCATCGTAACAACATTCGTTCTGTATTCACAACGGAGCGCTACACTAGCTGCTCTGTTTTGAACCAATTAGACCATACTGCTGGGCAATAGTCAAGATTGGACAATATTAAAGCCTGGATTACCTGTTTAGTTAAGTTTTGTGTTCAAAATCTGGCACATCTTTTAATAACAGAAAGACCATTACCCATCTTAGCTACAACTTTATTTATATGTCGAGTCCATGATAGTTGACTATCCAAGATCATTCCCAGCAGCTTAGTCTCTTGCAATTGGTCTATAGACACATTGTTTATACACAGATTTAAATTTGGTTCTCTGCTCAGAACATAATTCGACCCAAATATAATGCTGTTTGTCTTTGAGAGATTGAGGACCAATTTATTTTTCTTTATCCATTCAACCACTGATCGTAACTCTGAATATAAAACTGTGTTTAACTCATTGGCTGTGAATGCCAACATATATATATAGTTCAATCATCAGTATACATTGAAATGTTGGCCTCATTTAAGACAAGTGGTAAGTCATTTGTGAAAATGGTGTAAAGCAATGGACCAACACAGCTTCCTTGTTGCACTCCCCACCTTACCTTTTTAACATCTGAATAGCTCCCAGTAAAAAAAACTGTTTGGTTTCTGTTAGTTAAATAGCTCTCCATCCAAGATAATGCACATGTTGAAAAGACATAACATTCTAATTTTTGTATTAATAATTTGTGATCAATAATGTCAAATGCTGCTGTAAAATCAAGAAGGACAGCTGCCACCATTTTACTCTTCTATTTCTCTCAGCCAATCATCAGTCATCTGAGTCAGAGCAGTAGCTGTTGAATGCCCTTCTCTGTATGCATGTTGAAAGTCAGTGGTTAAATCATTCAAAGAGAAATAGCCTTTAATTTGTTCACTCACTCTTCTTTCCATTATTTTACTTAAAACAGGCAGTAAACTTATCTGACGACTATTTGATCCAGAGAATGGTAATTTCACATTTTTTGGGCAGAGGTATTATTTTGGCAATTTTCCATCCTTGTGGACATAAACCCTCACTAAGACTCTGGTTAATAATGTGACAAACTGCAGGGGCTATCAAATCAGCAACCATTTTAAGGAGTTTCCCATCAAGGCCATCAACACCTGCTGCTTTATTTTTACAAGTTATTAGCATGTTTTCTACTTTACTTGTACTTACTTTGTCAAATTTAAATTTACAATTTTTTCCTCCATAATTCGATTTTTAATTAATAAATAAGATAATTCATTTTCTATATTTTGCATGTTGTCAGGGAGGAGGTGGAAGGGAGGAGGTGGGTTTAAGTCTAAGGAAGCTGTTCTCATTGTAAGCAATCAAAGGTCAGTTCTGAAAGCTAGACTTCCTTAAATTCAGTATTTTAGTCTCTTAATGAGCTGACTTTAAGAATGTATACGTTTAATCTAAGATTAATAATTAGTCAAAACAAATTCACAATGAGAAGAAATAGTGAATTTGTCTTAAATGAAGGTACAACAAGCATTCTTAATTTAAACATTTTTATTGAATCAACATGTTTGTTTTTCCTTCAGGCAGAATAAAAGTCATCTCCTTCCTCAGTCCCAATGATGACCAAAACAAACAAATATACCGTCCACAATATCAGATTTCATTTACTGCCAGTCTGATTCTGCACGTCCATTTTAAAACTTGTGTGGCTGTGGGTCAGTTGGTAGAGTCGTCGCATGTGAACCGGAAGGTTGAGGGTTCAATCCCCAGCTGAGCAACATGTCCAATTGTCCACTCAGTGGTGGTGTATGAATGGGATTAGTTACTTGTGATGGATGATACTACATAGTGATCACTACCATCAGTCTATTATCTAGTATTAGTAGTAGGCATCACTTGTGCCATCAGCTCCCGTCCAATCACCTGCAGCACAAAGAGAGAGAGAGACGTGACAAAGACAACAGCACCAACCCTCAGCAGGGTGGTAGAACAATTTACACTGACACACATTTCAATAAGAAAGCTCATAATATAAGAGCCACAGTCATAACATGCTTCATTAACTACACTGAGTCCAGTATTCAGGACAAGAACACTTTTATAATCATCAGAGACAGACGAAGGATTCCTGCTCTCTATGAACAAACTTTAACTTCTGTCCTTTTTGAACTTTCTTGAATCCAGAAGTTCTCTAAGTGGTCTTATCCTCAAAATAAAGAAAACCATCTTGTTCCTCTGCTGAGATATGATAAACCATTGTTGTAGCTCCTTTCAGGTTCAATCTAGCTCAATGTTAACCAGAATATCTAATTAAGTCAAAGTTAGATATACTGTATTTTATTAATATAAGCTTTTCTAATACTAAACATACTTAACAAGATGATATTCTTTTAAGTTATAGAATATGACTTGTAAAGTTATTTTCATGTGGGGGACACAGAAGAAGTCCTTTAACCAAACACCAATCCTGCCTCGTTCCACGTCGACAGCCTGGTCAACATCTGTTTTCAGTCCACAGTCTGTCCCCCACCTGCTCCTGTTTCCCAATAAACAGCCTGGCCTCGGCTTGTTCATGGTTCTCTTTCAGAGGTCCAGCCAGTCTCCTGTTCCTACAGATCACTCTCTCAGGTTGTCCTTCTGCCCCCCCTGGTGGCCACTTGTAGTATCTTCATGAACATCTGTCTGTAGCTAGCCTGAGTTCTTTCTCTCTGAAAATGCAGTTTGGACTTCTAACCTTTATTGTTCCTGGTGTCATCTTTCTGAGCTGTGTTTATGTTTGAGTCTTCTTCTGTTAACTTTGATTCCATCAGTCTAAAGAATCTGAGGACAGACACAGTGTTGTCTGTATTCTGAGTGAGATACTGTTCTAATAGAAACAGAGAGAGCTGTGGAGAACTTCAGCTCTGCCTCCTGATCACTGATTATCCATCTGCTAGTTTGAACTTGAACAATCTGATTAAAAATGATCTTTGTTCTAAAAGCTTTCATTAACCAGCTGTTTGTTTGTATCAGGATGAAGAGACAGAGACCAGACTCTCCTGGACCCAGCTGTGTGTCCATGAAGAGTGATTGGTGTATAATGTGTATCTTGTCTCAGAGCTTCATAATATATGACACATTGTTTTCTTGTGTCACAGAGTTCAACAGGAGAGCTCCGAGGTTCACAGAGATCAATCAGACCAGCAGAATCCAACAGACCTGGACTCCATCTTTATGGTCTGCTCAACACACTGTTATATAATTTACTATCATTACAATAATTTAATGCTAAGTTATTGTTCTGTTTAGACCAGCTGACCTTCAGACTGACAGATGAACCACATGTTGAGTTCTACAAGTTTATATTAAATATCCAGTGTCTCCTTCTGTTCCAGCTGCTGGAGGAGAACATCGTCACCTTTGTGAAGAACGAGCTGAAGAGAGTCCGGAGAGGTCTGAGTCCAGATTACCCAGAATGCTTAGAGAGTCAGAGTGAGGATGAAGAGCAGGGGAGAAGCTGTAGAGAAGATTTTTTGAAGATCACTCTCCACTTCCTGAGGAGAATGAAGCAGGAGGAGCTGGCTGACTGTCTGCAGAGCAGTAAGAACATTTTAACAGATTTAGTATTTTAGAAAAAGGACAAAAGGGGTTTAAAGTTCCAAACTCAGATAGTCATGTGATCTATATCAGGATCTGTTCATTGATTTCAGTTCTTTCTTTATTCAGGAACTGTCGCTGCAGTGTGCCGGCATAACCTCAAATCTAACCTGAAGGAGAAGTTCCAGTGTGTGTTTGAGGGGATTGCTAAAGCAGGAAACCCAACCCTTCTGAAGCAGATCTACACAGAGCTCTACATCACAGAGGGAGGGACTGGAGAGGTCAATGATGAACATGAGGTCAGACAGATTGAAACAGCATCCAGGAAACCACACAGACCAGAAACAACCATCAGACAAGAAGACATCTTTAAAGCCTCACCTGGAAGAGATGAACCAATCAGAACAGTGATGACAAAGGGAGTGGCTGGCATCGGGAAAACAGTCTTAACACAGAAGTTCACTCTGGACTGGGCTGAAGACAAAGACAACCAGGACATACACTTCACATTTCCATTCACTTTCAGAGAGCTAAATGTGCTGAAAGAGAAAAAGTTCAGCTTGGTGGAACTTGTTCATCACTTCTTTCCTGAAACCAAAGAAGCAGGAATCTGCAGGTTTGAAGAGTTCCAGGTTGTGTTCATCTTTGACGGTCTGGATGAGTGTCGACTTCCTCTGGACTTTAAAAACAACCAGACCCTGACTGATGTCACAGAGTCCACCTCAGTGGATGTGCTGCTGACAAACCTCATCAGGGGGAAACTGCTTCCCTCTGCTCGCCTCTGGATAACCACACGACCTGCAGCAGCCAATCAGATCCCTTCTGAGTGTGTTGACATGGTGACAGAGGTCAGAGGGTTCACTGACCCACAGAAGGATGAGTACTTCAGGAAGAGGTTCAGAGATGAGGAGCAGGCCAACAGGGATCATCTCCCACATCAAGACATCCCGAAGCCTCCACATCATGTGCCACATCCCAGTCTTCTGCTGGATCACTGCTACAGTTCTGGAGGATGTGCTGAAGACCAGAGAGGGAGGAGAGCTGCCCAAGACCCTGACTGAGATGTACATCCACTTCCTGGTGGTTCAGTCCAAACTGAAGAACATCAAGTATGATGGAGGAGCTGAGACAGATCCACACTGGAGTCCAGAGAGCAGGAAGATGATTGAGTCTCTGGGAAAACTGGCTTTTGAGCAGCTGCAGAAAGGAAACCTGATCTTCTATGACTCAGACCTGACAGAGTGTGGCATCGATATCAGAGCAGCCTCAGTGTACTCAGGAGTGTTCACACAGATCTTCAAAGAGGAGAGAGGACTGTACCAGGACAAGGTGTTCTGCTTCATCCATCTGAGTGTTCAGGAGTTTCTGGCTGCTCTTCATGTCCATCTGACCTTCATCAACTCTGGAGTCAATCTGATGTCAGAAAAACAAACAATATCCCAGCTGTATAAAATCTTCAAAGACAAATGTAATCTTAAACATCTCCACCAGAGTGCCGTGGACCAGGCCTTAAAGAGTCCAAATGGACACCTGGACTTGTTCCTCCGCTTCCTCCTCGGTCTTTCTCTAGAGACCAATCAGAACCACTTACGAGGTTTGTTGACACCCACAGGAAGTGGCTCACAGACCAATCAGAAAACAGTCGAGTACATCAAGAAGAAGATCAGTGAGGATCTGTCTGCAGAGAAAAGCATCAATCTGTTCCACTGTCTGAATGAACTGAATGATCGTTCTCTAGTGGAGGAGATCCAACAGTCCCTGAGATCAGGACGTCTCTCCACAGATAAACTGTCTCCTGCTCAGTGGTCAGCTCTGGTCTTCATCTTACTGTCATCAGAAAAAGATCTGGACGTGTTTGACCTGAAGAAATACTCTGCTTCAGAGGAGGCTCTTCTGAGGCTGCTGCCTGTGATCAAAGCTTCAAACAAAGCTCTGTATGTGTCCAATAACTATCCAGGTTTAATGTAGTTCTCTTTATTCAGAAATAACAACTATTGTTTTAATTGCTTTCATTGTGTTCTTCTGAATCCTCTTCAGGCTGAGTGTCTGTAACCTCTCAGAGAGAAGCTGTGAAGCTCTGTCCTCAGTCCTCAGCTCCCAGTCCTCTAGTCTGAGAGAGCTGGACCTGAGCAACAACAACCTGCAGGATTCAGGAGTGAAGCTGCTGTCCTCTGGATTAAAGAGTCCTCTCTGTAGACTGGACACTCTCAGGTTAGTGTGCAGCTGATCCAGATTATTCCTCTTAGATTGTTTTCTTGATGCATCATTTATTAAATGTTCCTTTAATGAGTGGTTTAAAGTTTTAGTTACTGTATGTTACCACATTAAAGCTGTAAAACTCTGAGCTCGTTCTGTGTGTGTGTGTGTGTGTGTGTGTGTGTGTGTGTGTGTGTGTGTGTGTGTGTGTGTGTGTGTGTGTGTAGTCTGTCAAGTTGTCTGATCACAGAAGAAGGTTGTGTGTCTCTGGCCTCAGCTCTAAGCTCCTCCCACCTGAGAGAGCTGGACCTGAGCTACAATCATCCAGGAGAACGAGGAGAGAAGCTGCTGGCTGCTGGACTGGAGGATCCACACTGCAGACTGGAGACACTGAGGTACAGACAGACTAGAGGTCGCGTTAACCGAATATTCTCCGTCTTTGACAGAATTTTTTGAACAATGACGAAAAAGAATCTGAAGGTTTTGACTGATTAGTCACCACCACTCCTTTCTAATTCTCACACAACTCTGTCATTACCCACATGTAAAGCACCTGCAGTAGACCTCCCAGTCCAGTTGGTGGCGAGTGTGCATAATTAATTAGTTATTGTCTTGTCCTGTAGGCTGACCTCACTTGCATGACTTCGTTGTCTATGGTTGTTTTCATAGCATGGTTAAGCTATCTGCATGATGGTCACAAAATGTTGAAACAACAGTGTACTGAGTTCTTTGAAAAAGTGATTTTGCTGGTGATGATGGTAGACATGGTGAAAAAAGAGGGACTGATGCAGTGGAGGAGGCTGAAGAATAAGCACCTACAACTGATGAAGATAATCAGCAGGTAGCAGCTAAAGCTACGGGACAAGCAAGTTGCAGCAATGTGGGAGCAAGGAGGGATTACCGTGTTCAATGGGAGCAAGAATTCCTGTGGCTTCAGAGCGAAGATGACAAAATGTTCTGTGACGTCTTCAGAAAAGCTAACATGAGTAACAGATTTACCAGACGGTGCAAAACTATGAAGAAATCTGCTCTGAATGATCACAAAACCAGCCGAAGCCACATTATGGCTTCCAGGGTGGTTAGCCAGAGTGCTGCAATTGAAAAGCATGTTGCACAACAACTGTGTCAGAATGACAGTCCCTACCTCGTAAATATTCACTGTGGTGCACACCGAACTGCACCGGCTGCCCGCGATGCTTCCAGGGTAGTGCGTCAAATAAGTACTTTACCGTAAAATCCGGAACATAAGTCACACTGGTATATAAGACGCACCCTGTTTTTAAGATCTCTTTGAGAAAAATAAAAACTTTAAACTGTTTTCCTGCGTGACGACTTATATTGTGTTCAGCGATGTCTACAACGTGCATTTTCTGTACAGCTGTGTCGCTCTTAAAGTCCCGTCTTTTTCACCTTCGGGAGTTTGCGCTCCTACTAGCTACAGTACGGTAGTTGAGCTCTCAGCCTGCAGGGAAAGTTGTGAGGCAGAGGCACAGACTCCTAGCTTGCAAGTTGCACTGCCAGACTCCTCTGGTCACTCTTTAACTTTAATATAGGAGTCTTTCAATCAAAAGAGAACTCCACAAGGTCTATTTACTGGAACAATATACCACTGTTTCTGTAAATGCATGATTATGACCTTGTGAGGAAGAAAAGATGTGAAAAAAAGTCACGCAGCCACACTGGTCTGTGTCGCCGTCTTTTCCAGCACAGCGTGCAACCAGCTTTCAATACACAATGAATGGGGAAGAGTTTTTGATCGCACCAGGTCGCAGTAGTGGCAGCTGCACCTGCGGTAATGACGGCGCGTGTTTCAGTATTTTATACTGGTGTGTAAGACGCAGCCAACTTTTAAGATGAAAAAATAGGTATTAAAAGTGCGTCTTATACACCGGATTTTACAGTATGTGACCACTATCAATAACATCTACACCTACTACAAGAATTCTCCCATCCAAACACACAGACTATACAAACTCCAAAATGAGGATGGAGGAAAATTATCTGCTGAGCCTAAAGCAACCATCGGCAATTTGCAGGTTGTCCCTGGAGAGGGCAGTTAAAAGTGCTGGAGTTGGAGGAGGAGGAAGCTACAAAAAACTGCCCGGTAGAGAAAGGTTTAAGAAAATGCATCCTGACGTACACGTTCCCTGCATTGACCCACTTGCCAACGATGTCTTGGCTGTGGTGAACCGCATGAACCTCACTTTCCAAAAGGAAGATATGAACATTTCCTCTATCCAACCTGTCCTCAACATGACCCTTGCTAATCTAAAAGACTTGATGAATGAGCCAGGTAAGCAGTGTTAGAATGTAAGCACATAAGCTAGTACTTCAGTACAAATTTAAGGCATCCAGTCACACTTGATTTGTTCTTTATTCTTCATATACCCCTCAGAGAATAATATTATATTTTTACAACATTAAAACTGTCTGACAGCTTTATAGTCTAACTTTTTAAATTTACATCCTTCATAAAAAGCCTCGTTAAAACACGTTATTCCAGCATTTTATTTTTCACGAGATGAAAGGTAAAGTCTTCCTTTATAAGTCAAAGTCTTATCTTAGAATTATAAATAAATCATTCTTGAAACCATAGGCTGGAACAAAATCTAAAAGCTAAAAAAAACTTCATCTGAGTTTTTTTTTATAGAAATGCTTTGTATTTGCCACGGGTAAGGGATACGACTGTCACGATGGTTTTATAGAATATAATACACTGCTGATGAACAAACTAACAACAAAAGCAGTTCATATTTACATTATATCAAACATGTAAGCTCCCACAGAAAAACAACAGACAACATGAATGCAACTGCAGTATTAATATTAGAATTCCAAACTCTGAAGTAGCGCTGGTTATTTCAGTGTCCAGTGTGGCAGCAGAGTGAAAGTCTAGCGAGAGACAGACAGATACAGAAGCTGTCTCACTGTTTCTGAATGATGAACTAATGGTGGATTTAAATCTAGATGTATGAAGTATATTCTGATCTGGTTTCATCCTCCAGGTTGGACCATGGTGGACTGCACAGACTGGATCCTGGTCTGAGGAAGTGTGAGTGTGTTTTCATTTCTCTTCATCAGAACACAGCAGCACATGTTGGATGAGGGCTGGAAGTAACACAAAGTGATGATAAAAGTGAGGGGTGATGGAAACTCATGAGAGTTGAAATATTAAACAATAAAAAATATAAACTGAAATAAAAGTGATAATCCAGAAATGTATAATGTTCCAGTTTAAGCTGAAGTCACAAAACGTGTGTGCTCTAAACGATACATTTCTGTTGATGTGATGAATGGTGATTATCTTATCACTGGATTATCACTTTGAATTTCAATCACAATACTTCAACACTTCAGATATGGACAGACACACAAACATTTAGACTGCTTCATATTTCACATCACAAGTTTTCATCTCCTCCTTTCTTATCATCACTCTCTGTGACTTCCACCCTCGAGGCTCCTTTCCTTCAATGAACAGAAACAGTTTGTGTTGACAACCATCAATGATGAATGAAAGACAATTACAGATTACATTTGGCTCTATTTTCATCAAACCATTTGATCAAATCCACTGAACTTCATGAAATGTCTATGTTTGTATTTGTTGACAGGACTCGTCACTTTTGAACTCAAGTTAAAGAAATGAGTTTCTGTTTTT